AAAATACTTGAAATACCACGGGGCAAATCTTTACTATTTTACTGAACAAATATCTTTTTCATAATAATTCATAAAAACCATCGTCCTCATCAAAATCATCGTCATCATGATGATCGTCGTTGTTTATAGGAAACGCACCATAGACTTGAAATATAAATCAGTGAAAAGGGGTAAAACCTTTGCTAGGGCTGGTGAAAGGAATTTGGAAAATGAAAGAGAAACATTTTGAGAGAGGAAAGATCTGAAGAAATCGTTGGCTACGAGTTTAATCGCTTTTTTAATTTTCTTTAATCGCTCTAATTCACATAGATTTGAGCTCACTTAAGAATTTTTTTATTATAATGCTTTAAACTTAATAAAAATGACGTCTTATAGAGGTATTTTTAAAGTGACGTATGATTAGACTTAAATTCTGTAACATGTGTTTTTTATACTGAGAGATTTTCCAGATCTGTTTAGTTTTACGACAAGCTTGAACAAAAAAGTGATAAAACTTTGTCAGCCTTGTTATTTGTTCGATATTTTTTTAAATACGATTTATAAATCAATAAAAATCTTAATCAAGTATCTTTTATTTCAAATATTTTTTACCTCGGGTTAACTTTTTTTTCACGGGGAAACCGTTCCCCGGGGTAAACAATTATTGCCTCGGGGTGGACATTCTAGTTATTACATCATCTAAGTAATTAGTTGTCTGCTATTAGCCTAACTACTCAAGCCATTTGTGCATCTTTGAAATAATTTTTTTACAATCTTTTTTACTTTAGACATTTTAACGTACTACATTTTCCTAAACATGAGCAAAAGATTTAGTGAAGATGAAAGTGAAGTTGTAAGGAAAACTCGAAAAGTTATTTCTTTAGAAGAAAAAATAGAAATCATAAGAAAAAGTAAAGATGGTGTCTCGAAATCAAAAATAGGCCTAGAACACAAACTAGGTGAGTCAACAGTAAGAGCAATTTTAGGTAAAGCTGATGAATACAAAATGAAAGCTAAAGCTTATCATGTGTGCATATCACTCGAAATCAAAATGTTA